CGCCAGCCTGGCTGTCATCGGGCTCTGCGCCGCGTCCCTGCGCTTCATGCCGGAGCCTCTGCAGAGAGAAAAACCACACGGGCATTAGGCTACAGGTCTACATGGGAGAGACCCTGAGCAACCCGGGTGAGGAGGGGTTGATTCGCCCACGCTCGCTGAGAAAATGTTGATTTCAAATTTTCTCGAGGGCGGAACGCATTGCACTGGGTTTTGTACGTATAGCTTGAAAGCTGGGAGCGGATTCTCAAATGCTTTTAATCAAGTCGCTGTTTTACCACCAGAAATATTTAAAATAATCGTAACTTTTTTTTTTTTTTTTTTTTTTTTCCTGTAAAAGGGAGATAAGGGCTAATACTTTCCAAAGGAATAGGCGTTCATCAGGTCTGCCTTACGGAGGAATCGGGGAGACAAGTGACGGTGGGTAACGCCGGTCATCTGGCGACACGGGTGTCCTTGTCACCAGTTCAGACCGATAGCCAAGATTCCTTGGCGAAGGCACGAGCAAGGGGCTCTCCTAGGGGCTCCCTAACTAAGGTTTTCACCTTGGAAGTGGCATTATTGTGGAGATTAAAACCTCAAATAACCACGTTACGCAGCCTTACGCTAAACCCAAGTGCCTGACAGCCGGGTGTCAAACCCGGGGTTGCCTACATTTGAAATTCAGCCATTTTTTATCACCACTCAGAAAGAGTTATTCTAGAAGAACCCTCCATGGGACGTTCCTCCAGAATAGCTTTGTTTTGGGTCCAATTCCGGTGCACAGGTAAGTCCTGGGAAGTTAATTCCCACGGGAGAGCCGGCTGACGCGGCCCCAGGCGGAGAGCACGGGAGGCTCCGTCCCTCCCTGCTCGCACCGGACACCCCTGCCCTGCGCTCCTGGCCGGGCTCCTTCTCCAGCCCCACCGGCGGCAGCAAAGGCGGGATGAAAGGCAGGAGTTAGAGCAGCTCAGCGGGTAACAGGGGGGGTCAAACCCCGCGATTTTAAAGCATTTCCAGAGTCCGACCCCTGCTCGCCCTGTGCTCCGGCTGCTGCTCCTTCGCTGCTGCATCTGGG